AGCCTCCTCAGTCCTAGGATTACAGGCATGCACCACCACGGCCTGACTCTGTCGCCAGTCCAGAGTGCCCAAGGGCAGGGCCAGCATGGCATGTAGTACTGGGAATCGAACCCTGGTCCTTGCACTTGCCTAAGCAGGTGCTTAGTCTGCTGAGTTATCTCACTGGCCCTTAGATCAAACTCTTAAGAAATAAATCTTTTTTCCTATCCCATACCCTAAGCGAAACAATACTTAAAATGTCATAAAGCAAACGACCTATAAATTACATAAAAGAATTTGAATATGTAAAACCTGTGTGGAAGAATGAATTTTACTCAGCATCACCAGAATTTTAACTTAAATCTCTCAGTAACATTGACGGTAATTTCACTGGAATCCTCCTGGCACTGGTGCAGTAAGATTTAAAATAAAACTGAGAAAATCGGAAGGAATAAAGGATGCATTTGTATCGTGGGTGACCCTAACATTGGAAGGCCTTCTGCACGGGCTTGGGTTCTTCGCTATTGCATTTTAGAAATACCTCCCCAGAGGAGCTGACCCTTGCGTAGAGCACCAGGCATGCCAGGAATCACACGCTAACTTTCGCTCTTCAACAGGCTGGATGACAAAGGCCAGGTGGTTCGCATCAACTTCAACAACGCGACTCGGGACACGATCTTCGACGTCCCCGTGGAGCGCGTTCAGCCTTTCTATGCCTCTCTGAGGGAGTTTGTCGACCTCATGAACAGCAGAGAGTTCAAGTTCACCTTCAAGATGAACCCAGGTCAGTGCAGACCTTTTCCACAAAAGGGAAGAGCTGGAGGGGCTCCAGCGTGGCGCATGCGCAGTGAGGCGCGGAGCAGCGGGCTTGCGGAGCTCGGTGACCAGCTCGCTATGCTTAAGCAGCGGACTCCTGGCTCTGCCCCGGCCCTGTTGAGTTTTAGACACAAAAATACCTTTTCTAAAAGCTCGGGGAACCCTAAGCACTCCAAACTCTTAGGGTTTCCAACCCAAGTAATAAATACTTTCCGGACAAACTGCAGGCCAAGTGAATCTCAGGTCTGATACTAGTATCAGTATCTTCTTGCATTTTCTGTCCTCATAGCTCCTCAATGCAAGCCAAGGCTTGTACTTAATCACGCTATCCCAAACACCAAAGTGACGCTCACAATTCTCACCCTGAAATCGGTGCGGAATCTTCATGGAACGTACTGGATGTTTTTCTAGACTGTCTGTAGTGAAAGAAGCGCCACCAAAGTCGAGTCATCTTTCCTTTTCTATTTGCTTTAATTGGAAAGTTACATATACCTGTCAGATACATCCTGCTGTTTTGAAATATGTACATACTGAGGATGACGAAGGTGAGCTACTGAATATATGTATTGCCTCACATAATCATATTTTATGGTGAAAACATAAAATCTACTTCATTAACAATTTTGAACACAAATGAGTATGGTAGCTCATACCTATAACCCCAGTACTCTGGGAGGCTGAGGCAGGAAGATCACAAATTAAAGCCTAACATGGGTAATTTAGTGTTTTACTGACACCCTGTTTCAAAACTGAAAAAGAATATCTACAAGCACTAAAAACTGTAGCTCAGTGAAGGCCCTGAGATTAGGTATCAGCCCTAGAAAAGAAAAATTAAATACAATACATCATTATTAAATGCAGTTGCCCTGCTGCACGATATTTCTTAAACTTCAAGATTCTGCTGTCTATAATCTAAGGCAGTATTTCTTTCTGCTGTGATTTAGCCAAATGGATAATTCTTCTTACTTGTAATTGCTTGTATTTATTTTCCTTTTTCTTTTTTCTTTCCTTCTTTCTTCCTTAACAGTGTCTTGCTATATTGTCCAGCTGGTCTTGAACTCTTGGGCTCAAGCAATCCTCTAGTCTCAGGCTTGCAAGTGCATGGGATTACAGGTGTGCGTCACTGTGCCCAGCCAAATTTGTTCAGTTTTGGGGTTTGGAATGGGATTCATATATAGGGTGTTTCAGTGACTCTTCTCTCATTGCTGGGGCAAAATAGCCAACACCCAAAATTCAGAAAGGAAAGGCTGGCTCCAAGGCAGAGTGGCACATGGCAGAGGGCAGCAGCTCATGGTAGCAGAAAACAGCCAAGAGTGAAGGGAGGAGCAGCAGCCGAGGCAGCTTCAAGCCTCTCTCCCCTCCTTACATTTGTATGTAGATTATCTGCCCCAGGGTGGTGTAACACTCACTCCCATAATCCAACATTGGATCAAAAATGAACCACAAACTCCTGATCCCTGCCTGAGGCTTTGGGGGGACACCAATCACAAGCCATAACACAGGGTCTTGCTATACAGTTCAGGCTGGCCTCAGAGTCTCACAATTCTCTCACCTCTGCCTCCCAAGTGTATGCCACCACACCGAGCTAAAATTGCTTTTAATTGATGTTTTCCATAATAAAGTTTTACTAGAAATAGCCATGAATCCAGCATCCAGTGGACACAATGGACTGAGGCTAAGTGTGGCAGCATGTGAGATGAAAACAATATAGGAAAAACATACATGTATAATGGGAATCCAAGCCCATCCCTCAGCAGCAGCATCACTTTTGGGAAAATTCCTCAACTTGTGGAAGCCTCCATTTCCTTGTGTATGAAAAGTTGAGTTCGTATTTCCTCAGTATGGTTATGTGTTCTAAATGATACACATGAAATACAAGATAAGCAAGACTGTCATTGTCCCTAGAGGCATTTGAAGCCATTAAACTGGAAAGAAATATTCCCAGTGAGGAGTCAAGTGGCTATCAGTGTAAACAACATGAAAGTTTTGTCCCCTCACTGGTGTCCCCAGAAGCCCTGTCGGCCCTGCAGCTCGAGGTCACACGCCTAGGCCAGCTGCAAGCAGCTGTGTCCCAGTAAGCCTAATGCACTGCAGGGAGAGAGAGAGACAGAGAGTTAGTTTCTGATGCCAACTGAGCAGCACGGTGCCCTGTGTGCTCCATTTTCTCACTCTGTAGATCATTTCCACACAAAATATTCCAATATAGATCAGCAGTCCATAATAGTAGTGGGTTTTCTGTAGGACTGACAATGTCAGTTGTTGACTGGAGACTTTTACAGCTCAGCATATTCATATGCTTTACTTTTTATACCCCGTGTTTATACTTTTCTGCTGGATGGTTAAGACCAAGATGGTTAAGGCAAGACCTACATAAGAAGAAATGCAACTTTTGTATTTGACAAGGTCAGCCAAATCCCCTCAGGATTTATCCTGAGATCCTGTACCTCAGATTGTAGAACCTTGGTCAGTGTCAGCCATGTGGATGAGTCACGGCCATTGCTTGGCCAATGTGCTCTCTGTGAAAGCCTGAGAGAGTGTTTTCTCTCCATGTGACTCTCCTTAGGCACACTCTACATCATCCATCCCTTTCCTCTGTGGCCCCATAATCGCCTTGATCAGTAAATTTGGGACACCACTGAGCTACAGGATGTTACACTACAGGTTCTCTCACTGAAACGCAATCTCTCGCCTAGGCGACGTGATCACCTTTGACAACTGGCGCTTGCTGCATGGCCGGCGGGGCTACGAGGCAGGCAAGGAGATCACCCGCCACCTGGAGGGCGCCTACGCCGACTGGGACGTGATCCTGTCCCGGCTGCGCATCCTGAGGCAGAGCCTGAAGGACCCGCGCTGAAGCTCGGCCAGGTCCGGCGGGAGGGGCGGGCACGGGCCCTCACCGTCCCGGCTGCGTCCTCCCGCGCCGCCGCCCCCGTACACTTAACAGCCACACGCCTCGCGGGCGTAGCGCCTCCCTGCAGCCAGGCTCAGGGCCCCTTTGCGCAGGTGGCCTTGCGCTGTCTTCTCCAATAAAGCCCTTGCTTCCCTGCGGTGCGTGCGCTTTTTTTTTTTTTTTTGTCCATGTGAGTGTCTGCACGCTGAGGTACAGATAGCTTTTGTGTCAAAGGAAACGTGTCTCCAAGAACAGCTTTTCTTAAGTGAATCTATGGCTTCAGATAAAGCTTGTCCGCGCCTTTTCCCACAGCCACTACGGAAATTCCTCAAAAGATTAAAGACTGAAATTCCACTTGACCTGCCTCTCGCCTTCTAGGGTCTGCCCAAAGAAGCCAAAGGCACCGTGTTTCGTTGACCCGTGCACCCCGTGTGCCAGCCGCACAACTCACGACAGCGGTGTCCCAGCTGAGGCACTGCTCCTACGCGGTGGCGCTCTGGGCTGGGACCAAGGACAAACCTGAGCCATCCGCAAGATGAATGCACCTTGCAATCCTAAGGCTAAATGAAATAAACCAGACGCCTGAGTGTAAATATCACATGGTTTTCTTATATGAGCAACCCAGAGTATAAATCCAATACAGAGTGAAAGAGGGCAGGAAGCAGCGAGGTAGAGCTTTCTCAGTGGGGGAGGGGATCGAGAGACGGAAGCAGGGGAGGAGGGAGGGTGGGAAAGGAGAACTGAAGAAAACAATGAAAGGACGCAGTCTTAGTTACTTTTTAATAGTTGCTGGGACAAATACCCGACACTCAAAGTGAAGGAAGGAAAGGTTTATTTAACTCACAGTTACTGGAGGGGTCAGTCCATACTCCGCTGGCTCCAAGGCAAAGGACAGCACTTCATGCGGCAGAAAACAATGAAGAGCAGAGGAGGAGCAGCAGCTCCGACGGCAGCCATCAAGCCTCTCTCTTCCTCCTGCGCTGACCGCGAAGACCAGCGCTCCACAGTGAAGATCCGAGCTCCTCCAAAGTGGCGCGGCTACAAGGATCAAGCTCCTCCGAAGACTGGGACTGCTCTACCGAAGCGGGGCAGGGCGGCAGGAAGCCTTTCTCAATTCCTGGGCCCTGCCCACCTGCAGGGCTCGGCCCCCACGCTGGGAACTGCCCAAACTGATTCAGCCAAGTTGACACATTGTATCAACTAACACAGGCGCTTTTGTAAATTAGAAGGGGATCGAGAGCTGGAAGGAGCAGGGAAGGATGGGTGGGGAAGGGCAGCAACAACAATTAGTGTGCACCGTTTGCATGTGCCAACCTGCACGCTTCGTGTAACCGTGTTCTGCAGACGTGGACTAGCAAACAACGTTTTTCAAAATTTGCCTCCAAATGTATTTCTACCTGCAGTCTCTGGGTCACCTTCCTCATGTTGCCACAGCACTGTCTGTAGCCTGCATGAGAAAGAGCTTTATGTTCCCAAGGCTCTTAATAACTGGATTATATTGTCCAAATTTATCACTTTTATTACTGGATTATATTACCCAAATTCAAGTCCTCCCCAACGCTGTGACCTCAACACTTTTTCTGTAATAGATGATGGTAGCAAACCCAGCCATGTCAAACTAAGGGAAATCGAGCTGCCCCAAGCGTCTCTTGCACAAAGCACCTGTTGCCCTGCAGCACTGCCTGCCCATCCACACACCTGCTTTCATTCCTTGTCTTCTGTTAACAACAGGGAGGGGAGGCCAAGGTGGGCACGGGGCTCCTGAGTGGGCCCAACACCGGCTGACTTCTGGCCGGTAGGCTTGTTTTCCCCAGGACACTGCCTCAGCCAACAGAGGGGGGCAGTGTCACTTGTCCTGAAGCCACTCAGGTTTCCCGACTCCAAAGAGTCTGACTGACTGGAAACCCGCGAGACAGTATCAGCCCGAGTCCTGGGGTAAACAGAGCTTCCAGTCCCCAGAACTGGGCCTCGGCAAGCCTCCTGCTCTGAGTCCAGTTGTAGCAGCAAAGCATCTCCCTCCCCAGCAGTACACTTCAGTTTCTGTGAGTTTCACCCACACGAAGTATGCCCACAGCGGTGGTGATGCAGGACAGGAGACGTTGGGCATCCTGAAGTCTGGTGCGGAGGCCATGTCTCCAGCTCAGACTCCTCCTTCCTTGTAAAAGTCTCACTTCATCCTTTCTAGTCATCTGTCCCCATGGGGACTCCTGTGCCATATGACATGTCTGATTCTTTGGAACTTGAGAAGGTGTGAGGTTGGCCTTTATTCTGCCCTGAAATGTCCCTAGAATGACAGCAGCTGAGTTCATCGGGGACATGACCCGACTGGGAGCTGAAGTGACCCCAATCCCTCTGTCCCCAGTATCTCCACCCAGGGACCTCCCAAGAGACACTGGCGTTCTACTCCCCGAGAGGGTATTTCTCCCATGCCCAGCACATCTGCTGGACTGAGGCCCTGGCAGACCGGAACTCAGCCTACGTGGGGTCAATGAGTTTCGCTGTCTTTGCTCGCTTGGTACCTCAGGGTGAGAGGTCGGCATGGAGACCTTGATGGCCCCTCTTAGCAGTGCGGTTCACGGGAGGCAAACAGTCCAGGTCAATGAGGTAAGCAAACCCATTCTCTGCACTGAGTTAGGAAAGCGAGTAGCAGCTCCACAGCAAAGATGCGGAGATCACTTTTCACGCTAAACAGCACAGAAGGCACAGATAACTGAGAACAGACCCAGGGCACAGGCCGACGTGTAAGAAAAGTAGGCCAGGCCGTCAGTGCAAGTTTGGGTCAGATTTGAGTCATAGGCTGATGACCAGCTAGCCGTGTGTCTTTGACTACAAGTCTCCCTGCTTAAATTCTTTTTTTTCTATCTAAAATGAGATAAATAACAATTCTTATCTTACTACATTTTAAAATGAAATTTTAGGTAAAGCAGTGCTTGCCCATATTTCTCAGACAATTAGTCACATCCACAGTCCTTTTGTAAAAAGAGAGCATATACCTTCCCAGCCTAGTCCCTACAAGGCTGTGATTCAATGGCTCTGGGACTGACTTGGTCCCAGGTGATACTTGTTTGTAGGAAAGATTGGAAAACACTGGCCTACAATAGCGGTGGAGCTACACCAGGGCAGGAACTCGGTGGATGCTAGCCGGTAACGCTTACAGAAACAGAGGTGGGTGAAGGAGGAGGGCAGGGTGGGTGAGAAGGGGTGCATCAGCTGGAGGGGGGACGAGGCCAAGTCCCGAGATGTCTGAGCCGCGCTGCAGTACGGAGCTGGTGTTTCATCTTGGAAAGCAAAGGAGAAGCCATTCAGAAATTTGTAAGCAATAAAGTGCCTCGACCAGATATTCACTTTGAAAAGATCCAGCTGGCTTCTCTGTGGAGGGAACTGTAAATGAATTATGCTAAAAGCCAAAGATCTACTTCTGAGGCTACTGCGGGAAGGCATGTGAAAAATTAAGGACGACTGACATAGAACACTGATAAGGGGGCAGAAAGCCGAGGAGGCTGTGGAGAAGGCTTGACCCACGGCCCGTCCAAGAAGAGGGAGCCTCCAGGATTGCCTCCAGGGTCCTTGCTGGGAGAAACAGGGTGTGCAGGGGAAAGGTCCCCAAGGCAGAAGGGAGAAAACGAGTTCAGTTCTGAACAAGCAGCCTGTGCTGCCTCCATGTTGGCCGCTGAGTTTACACGTGCCTAGAAGTCACATCGCAAGCTCTACCAAGCTCAGAAACAGTGCCAGAAATCACTCCTGGCTTTCCTGGAGGCATTTAGTGACATGACCAGGTCACAACCCTAATGGGCTGAGGATAAGGGAATTCGATTGCAGAATCCAGTGTGCACAGGGCATAGGATCTGTCCCCATCCCAGGAACCCCCTGATGCTTTGAATTCTGTCTGGAGGATAGCGCTCCAAGCTGCCTCTCATCTTGTTGCCTCCTTCTCAGCTGCCAATATAATTTCTGTCCCAGGAAGAACAGAAGGATTGGCTGCAGCTGCAATAAATTCTGAAGTGTTGCAATCAACAGGACATCGAATTGTGGACTTGGGCAGGTAGTGTTTCTGGGATAGAAACATGCGAAGAATTGCTTTCCCCTCTGATGTCGTTGGTGTAACTTGGATGCAAATTCATGCCTCTTGGCAGGGTAGATATGTACTGCCTTGGGTTACTCTGATTTGATGGAGAACATGAGCTGCCTGGCTCAGAAATCGGAATAACTCTGCGGGTCCCCGGGATGTATGTCCCACAGCACCCTCGCTGTTCTCTTTTTCCTCCCAGCCAGCCCTCGAATGTGAGCATATGAACATTGGTAGGCCAGAGTTAAGCTGAGGAAGGAATTCTAAGGAAAAGCTAAGTGACTCGGAGGGAATTCTCTTCAAAAGTTTGAAGTATGAAATGGAAGATATTTTAGAAACAAAGTCCTCCTTTATTTTAAATATTACTTGGGGACAGATCTGCACGGAGCTCATGCAGTGAGCATGGAACGGGCTTGGCCTCTGTGGTTTGGTGCATATTTTTGTGACTCTGCAGAGGCGTCTCCAGCTGTCTATGGGAAAATTCCTTTCTCCTTTAAAATTTAGCTCAAAATTGGCCAACAACATGGAGGAATAGGGTGTTCCCAGCTCTTATCCTCCCTGCAGCAATAACTTGGCAGCTACCTTCAAAGGTGCCTCTGCAGTTGGGGGAACCAGGTTGGTGGCTAAAAAGCCCCAGGGGAGTATGAACCAGGAAGGGCTGTTTCGAGAAAGCAGATTACACCCAGGCCATGGCTCACCACTGTGGCTCCGGCCATGGCCCAGAAACCAGCCTGTTCCCCTGTAGACTCAGCTGTAGCCCTGTGTGGCCTCAGTTCTACAAAGGAATCACCTACCATGGTACCCAAGTCAGTCATTCCCCTCCTGGCCCCAGGTAAGAGGAAAGGAAGCCAGGTGCAGCTGAGAACCCTGAGGCAGCTTGGGACCTAGCTCCAGCCCCGCCAGCCATCGCTGCCCGCTGCATGACACACAGGGGTGCCTGTCCCCGGCCCAGGAGGCAGGTCTACCTTCTCAGGCCCACAGTAGACCCCAAGAGAGCAGTGCAGCCCAGCCCGGCTCCTCTCAGCCGCAGGCCAGGAGCAGCGCTGCCTGCCTGTGGACCCTCTGTGAGTCATGCCGATGCAGTCTCTGTA